AAGCTAACACAGCCGTAAATTGTTTTTTCTCCACCTTTCTGTTCCGATACAGCAAGGGTTCATTTATTACATTTTTGTTGTTGATCTTTCACCTTTGTTARTGTTTTTGACATTTGCCTCTTTGAGACTTTTTTTTTGAAGTATTTCATGGAAGTGGAACACAATACAGTGTGCGCCGAAGCCACCAGAGCACCAACCTGTGAGCTAATGAGAGGCCCCATGCTGTTATCTGAGGCTCCGGCTTCTCCGACAACTGCGGCGTTTTCTGTTGGCTGCGCGAAACACAAACCGGGGGTATACCATTCGCATATGTTGCACGCATCCTTCTCTTTTAAATAAAGGAGGCTTTCTCGGGATGCAAAGGCTCCATCATACAGACGGTGGCCCTCGTGCGCACGTGGGGACTCACACAAATGCTCAGCAGACACATTTGAAGGATTCAGCGGCACCAAAGACCACAATAAAGCAAAAGGCTCAAATGACACCCTCCTGTGACAATCCCAAGCTTTAGCTGCTTCGCTTTGTCTCGTAATATATCAAATGTTTTCGCAAATAACACTTCATACAACAACCCTCTCCAAATTTGTTTGAATTAAAGCAGAGGGGAAGATGCAAGACAACGGCGCTGTGTTTTTTTTTTTTTTTTCTCTTTGTGCCGGCTGTGGGTGTGCGCATTAAACCCCTGCCAACCAGGGATGCATTATTTAAGATGCTGTTGTGATACTTGTGCCTGCTTAAAGGTCTCTGCTTCCTTTAAACACCACGCCGCGTCAGTCAACCTCTGCCCCCACATGTGGGGAAACCAGAGTGGGACCTGCTGGTGTTGGGTCCACACATCACCTGAGAAAATCACAGCTGGGGAGGAGAAGAAGTAATCTAGATAACCTTTCGGTTAAGCATGCATTTTTGCGAACAAAGACATTTTGCTGACCTACTTATTTTTATGTCCTTCTTTGCTGTCAAAAATTTTTTTTTGAAAGTTTTCTGGCATGTCTTTGTATTTTATGTGTATAAAGTTTTGTTTTATTATTATTATTATTATTATTTTGCAGCAATGAAAAAAATAAAAGACTAAATGTCAGTTTGTAATCACACTGAGTTGGACATAAGAGTTATTAAATCTGGCTTACCCAGCTGTTCTTACAGGACAAAAAAACCTGTCATGGAACATAGTATTATAAATTGAATATAGTTAATTATTCTTCCTGCTATGCCACCAGCCGTGTGTGCAGGGTGAAAAGGAAAAAAAAAAGCCTGGGAGAGTGGAGGGACCGAGCGTGTGCGGTGGAACTTCAGGGCCCCTCATTACACTCTGCCCCTGGGTATTTTTACGCCTTTTATTTCCCATCTAATGAACTGTTTACTTTTTCCCCCCCTCGCTTTCTAGGCGCCACAATTATTCGACTTGTCCTTGTGTCACTGGTTGCACGAGGCGGGAAGCAAGGAGGAGAGTTGGGGGTCATTGAATTAAGCCATCAAAATCTGAGTTGGTTATATTTTAATTATGGGGTTTAATGTTTTGTTCTTTTACATGAAAAAGGCTACGAAATTCTGAAAATTGTTTGAAAATTATGATTTTTTTTTTAAAAAAACAGATTTCCCCCTGATTGTTTATAAATGTATTTTAAACAATATACACATGGCCCCCAAACAGTAAAGGAATTGTGCAGAAATAAATGATCCATATATTTGTTATAATTAGATTGATATCATTTACTTCTTAGAGGATTATGCTGAGCTGATTTGCATATCTGATATGAATTGTTCCTCATGCATATGTAATTGCATTTTGACGGGCGAAGAAGGCAGCTTTYTTTCTTTCTTTTTTTATTTATTTATTTTTGTCAGCTTTCATGCCAACAGAAAAACGTGTGTTTTTGACAGGACACCAGCACCTCCGTCACCGCTTTTTACGGAATGTGTGGAGTTTTAAAAGGCAGGCCACTTTGCATAAAGTTAAGATGTGCCTTTGTGCTTTTTCTTGTGTGCTTCCGGGAATAGAAGCAAATTCTCGCTCAAGATTAAAAAAGTGACACAAGACAGACCTTTCAAAAGGATTAAAAAAAGCACCCCCCTTTTTTTTTCTCGTTATCTGAGCAATAAGGTATCTTCTGAAAGTACTTATTCTTTTTTAGATTAGAAAACCAGATAGTTGGTTTTGTCTTAATATGCAGAACTTTGTCTCCACCTATTGTAAATAACATAAATCAGTTTTACCATTTTTTTAGGTGATTCCGCTGTAAAACAAGTGTCTGCTATCTGATTTCTTGACCTCAAAAGTGAACTTCTTGTGATTTCATTTAACACCAAACTTATAATCAAAAATTGTCGCCGTATGATGAAGGCAGCGTTGCACCTGCTTGTGTTTTACATCAAAAGGGATCGCAGCAATCGCTCAGGAATCTGTTGTTTTCCAGAGGGGGAATCCAAAAAAACTGAGTGCATACTGTAAGKTACAGGGGGAAGCAGCGGCAAAGCTTTCATTTCAATGACACTTTCCATTCTTCATACTCTCTTTGTTATCTGCTCTGTTCTCATTGCAGAAACCCCTTCATACATTCATCCGTAACAAACAGCTATTTAGAATTACAAAACAACACAAAAAAACCCTGCATATGGTTTGAAGGCGACGTAAGCCGYAACATTCAAATCAATGCTTCTCCCAGGTTTCTTCGTCTCAATTACCGGAGAAGTCGTCTTTCCCCCTAAGTTGCACTGCAGCTCTTTAAGATGAAACTTGACTTAAATGGAATGTGTGGGAGTATTTTTTTTCCCTGGCAAAAGGTGTGTTTGTGCGCCTGATGTACCCGCGTACGCGCCGCCTTAATCTCGTCTTTATTCTCGTTTCATTTCTTTTATTTATTTATTTATTTATTTTATTCTTAAATCTGAAATGACTTTTAATGGTCTCGCAAACAGGAGCGCAGTGACCAGCGAGTTGCCCTCCACCAAAAAATGGGGCTTGGAAGAGCTGTGGCATTTCATTACAAGGGAAAACAAATATGTGAAAAAACAATTATAATAAAGCTTCTTCTCATGATAAAACAATCGCTTTATTTATTTGTCTTGTACACGTGTATATTTCTTGTGTTGTATTTAAAGTATCTGACATAAGAAATGAAAGCAGAACATGCTTTAAAATAAGAAAATAAAAACATTTATAGTCAATGAGATTAAAGGTTTTTGAAGGTTTTTTTTTTGCATTTTGCTGTCATGTAACTGAGATTTAAAGTAATAACAAATAGCAGAATTGCTAAAAATGTAACCTATATGACACATTTTGACATAATGATCCTGTCTTGTGTTTCTGAGTGGTTTGGGCCGTGTTGTTTGAGTTTATGCTGCCAATTTTTTTCTTCCTCTCCTTTTTTCCTCCCCACAGTGGGTGTTCAGCGGTTGGCTTAGCTCCCCGTGGTTGAGTGTTGTTTGGGTGCTCTCTTTATCTAATGGGTTTTTGTGGTCTGGGTCAATCAGGGCCTCCGTCTAGTCTGTAATTACTCCAGAGAGCTGTGGCCCTCACCATCATGATAATAACAGCCAAATCACATCAGCCATGACTTTCCAGTCAGTGCTCCAGATTGAGAAGAGACAAAAAAAAAAGAGAGAAACAAACTCAGCTGGTCTGTGATTGCTTTTTCATTGAAGGTTCTCGATATCACTCTGGATTTTAGTATTGCCTGTTTCAAGTTTGTTTCGTGCTTTTCCTGTGGAAAGTAATGTACCTATCACAATAGCTTCTTAAAACTTTTTTTTCTTTTCCTGTTACTGGAAAGTTGGCAAGAAAAAGCCTTTGAAACAAAGAAATTCTCCACCAACTAATTGGTGATCCTTCGCCGGTTTTTCGTGGTTTTTCTTTGTTTTGCTCTCGCTATTTCATTTTAATAAATAAACTACCAGGACTTATTTTTTTACGAGTCATTTATAAAAACAAATAAATAATAAATTAAAAAATGGAAATAAGTTGTGTGGAAGGAAAGTGATATTTCCATTCGTCTGCTGGTGTTTGCCTTTGATTTTGCCCACCTCCCGCAGCCCAACTAGAAACTCTGTAAGAGAAAGCGAAGGAGGCTTAGTAAACACTTTTTTTTCTCCCTCTGTCTGTTGCTGGTGTGTGTTTAGTTTAGAGGGCATGCCAAGAGGCTGTTTTTCCTCGGGTCGGGCGTCTGTAAACAAGTAGTACAGTGGCAGCCAAGTCTACCACAATCGGAGGTGGCACACTCTTGAAGTCTGCATGAAATGTGTGTTTGTCTTTTTGGGTGTTGTTTTTTTTCTCCCTCTTTTTTTGTGGGACATGGCATTCCTTTGCATTGTATCCTAGCTCGAGACAGAGAGAGAGAGAGAGAGTGTGTGTGTGTGTGCGTGTGTGTGAGAGTGAGAAAGAGAGAGGCAACCCTAAATCCGATGGGCCGCCAATGGGTGATGAATTATTCCCTGTCTAAGTCACAGCATTGGTGTTATCACAGAGGCTGCCACTGCACTGGGATGACAGCAGTGACAGCCCCCCCAGAAAAGATTTAGCACTGACAAGTGATACTTCCTCATAATACATCTCCCTGGCCCTCTCCCCTGTCCCCCTACTCCACAGCCTCTCCATGCACACAAGATGCTGGTTTTTTTTATGTACCTCAGCTTGTATTTGTTTAAGTGGGCAAGATGGTGTTGGGGGTCTCCTTATTTTTTTTTACCACTTTTGTGCCACACTGTGTATAATGGATCACCTTGGATGCAGGCATGAGCATAAACCCATACTACAGCGTGGTGTCATTACGAGTTGTAGAGATGCACACAAACACACGCAAGCTGCATGCGAAGGACTCTGCTTGTCACCAAGTTCCATTAGGGGGCTCTCGTGTTTAAGGAATGCATATTGTGTTGTTTTTTTTATCACGAACAATAGTACTAAAACATATTTTCCCCACTTGTTTTCTCTTTTTTGCTCCCCTCTGTTTCTTTCTCCTCTTCTTTTTGTCCTCCTTCTCCTTCCTCCTTTCCCCTTGCAGAAAAGGTCACGCATTGCCTACAGTGATGAGGTGCGCAATGAGCTCCTGGGAGATGACGCCATCTCCTCCGAGAGCCAGGTAAGGTGCTAATCAGGGACCCAAACAACACCAATGTGGGTGGCTGACTGGCCCCCAGGGGTGAGTAGGTGGGCCCCTCACAGGGGCCATCGAGAGCTGAAGCAACACTATTGTCACCAAGTCATGTGGAAGGAACACTGTTTAATGCAAAGCTGGCCAGCTAGTGAGTAGGCTCAGGGCATGAGACCAGTGTCGAGCCAAAGCCAGATTGTGACCAACACATGCACACCCCCCCCCCCCCAAAAAAAAAAAAGGCACAATTCAGCACATATTTCAATCCAAAAACCCCAGTCTCTCCAACCGTCCAACAGCTGTTCTCCAGCTGGGAACCGACTTAGACCTATAACAGATTCTCATGATCAGTGTGCAAACAAAGACACAGATACCCAAATAAACACACTGAATTAACAATTATTCTATTTTGGTTTTATAAAAAAAATTACATTAGTGCTCAAACTAACAAGTTCACATTATGATTTAAGCAATAAAAAAAATCCAAAATTGTAATTTTTCAAAGGATTTTAAA